GTTTCTGTTTAGGTTGTTTCTGTTTAGGTTGTTTCTGTTTAGGTTGTTTCTGTTTAGGTTGTTTCTGTTTAGGTTGTTTCTGTTTAGGTTGTTTCTGTTTAGGTTGTTTGTTTCATTTTTCTGGACAGAATAACTTACTCAGTTGTTAATTACAGAACTAAGGGAAAAGCCTGTGAGTGTGAGTCATGTTGCCTTGTCCTTTTGCAGTAAGGAGACTGTTTAGAAAGTTCAAAGTCACCATCAAAATCAGTATCTGATGTCCCAAATGTCCATAAAGCTATATTTGAAGTAGAAAATTTAATGAGAATTGTCAAAATCTCATATGCTGTAATTGATGGCAAACAGAGGAGGCAGACAGGTCCAGAGTTTGACCCTGGTTTTGCTTTTTGAGTTCTAATGGGTTTTTTTTTCAGTCTCCTCCTGTTCCTGTCTAGGAAGGTTTGAAATCTGACTGTATAAAATACAATATCAAGTGAGAGGGAGGGGATTGGAGAAATAAATACACTATTCAGAGTGTTTCTGGCTTTACTAATTTGCTGGTTTAGAAACACTCCAGAGATACTATCAAGCACTATCAGAAGCATTTAATTTGTACCTTTATTGACTTCATATGGATTTGTCATGACTAACTTGGAAACACAAACCCCACTCCCAATCACTAATCCTTTGTCCAACTGTTTACAGCTTTTCTGCTGAGAACAAGGGAACACTGGGACAACACCAGGAACAGGCAGAGGAGTCTCCAGGTTTGGAGCAGTCCCTTAGTGTGAAAATGTCTGGAATGGTGGCCAAGAGAGTGTGTGGTGCTGCTGGTGAGACCACAGGCTCAGTCTTTAGCCATAAAGACTGCAAAAACACAGGTACCCATTACAGAATTCTGCAGCAAACCATGTCTGTGACTACTTACTCATTTTAGGGCAAAAGTTGAAGTCTCAGCTGCTCTTTGGAGCTCTCCTTCAGAAGAGGACTTTGAGCTAATTAGCCCCTGAGAGAGAACTTGGGGTGTTGAGATGTTCCTTGGTTGCCTCCAGTGTGAGTTTTGGTGCCAGGATCTGCTTGGGATTAGCAAGAATGAGTAGGAAAGGTGTAAGTTGCTTTGTTGAGGCAGCAGCTGTGCATAGACAAAGAATTTGGCTTTCCAGTTGCTGCCATGAAAGTGGGTGATACTTAAGGTGATGATAGATAAAGTCACTGGTCCTTTCAGCTGCTGGTGGTATGACTAGGAATGTGTAGGGCAATGGTTACTCAGATTATAAATGACTTGAAATAAGACTGAGCTAAACAAAAAGCCAAAGTAAAGTTATTGATATGAAAAACTAGCACTGGAAACATGGTAATTTAATGTTGTACCTTTCAGAACTTATCGCTCAGGGTAAGGTTTTATTACCTCTGGAACATGTAAATTCAGCTAAAACGGACAAACCCATATCTACACCAATCATGAGAGAAGGCAGGAAGTGTGCACTTCAGGTAAGGATGCCTCTGGAATTCCATTAATGCCTAAGGAAACAGTGCCCTGGGTTATATTTGCCTTAAGGCAGGACCAGCCCAAGGCTCATTTGGCAGTTATGACATTAAGTAAAAATCAGTCTGATGTGTTGGTTACATTCACTTCAACTCAACACTAAATTTTGGCCTGGGCTGGTTCACCAGTTTTCCCACCTCTTCCATGTTCTCTGTGCTCTTAAGTGGTGACAATGGGTTTAATTCATCTCCTGTGGGTAAGTGCTGTGCTGCTCCAGGGGAAACTAAACCTGTTCCTAGAGCACTAAACTACTTCCTACAGCATCTGCAGAGACCAGTCCCTTCCCTATTTCCTACCTCCCTGATACAGCCCCAACATGGATATATGTGCTCAGGAGTCCATATGCCCTTATATATCTTAGGGGAAACATGTAAATTTAGTCTGATCTCAACTATTCTTTCTGCCAGCAAAGATATTTCCCTTAAGATATTAACTGTGTCTCTTAAATGTTTACATTCTAGGAGTCTGTGCTGGAGGAAAAGGCACTTCTTTCAAACCCAAAGGTGGATCCTGAAGGCAATGAAGATATTAGTCCATGTGGCAGCAAGTTCACAGTGAAAAGCTTGGGGATGCTTTCTACCTGGTGTAACTTGTGCATGGTTCAGGCAGAGAATACTCCTGAAGGAACAGGTAAATCATATTTAGTGCTATTATGTCCAATCTGTTTCAACCACTTCACTCAAACTTTAATCCAGACAGAAAGAGACAGTCTTCTCACTTATTACCAAAGTGTCTTGCTCACTATATCCAATATTTAAATCAGGTAAGATGGGGGGATGTCTCCAAGGTTTATTAGGAGATATGATTACACTGCTTCCTCAGAACAAAATCATAACTTATTCTGATTGTATCATTAACAATTTAGCCTCTTTTGAGGCATTTTTTTCAGTAATTTAAGGCTGTTCTTTTTAAAAGAACATAGATCAGTTGAAGATAGACTTTGACAGGACACACTGGAGTTATTTTTGTTTCCAGGTTTTATCCTCAGTTCATATTTCTTACTCCTCAGAAGGACATATAAAAATAAAACTGTGTGTTTATATATGAGTCAGTTATATCATTTACATAGTTCTGGGTATGCATAATCTCTGTATTAGAAATATTTACATATTGTGGCAATAGTTTGTATTTGTGTCATTTTTCTAATGAACCATCTTCCTGTATTTAATCCTGGATACCATAGTGAGGGAGACTATGGACTTGTGTATCCTAAGTGATCTATCAGCAACCTCTTCTAGAAAATACTTTTTAATGAAATACTGATTTAAAAAAAATTCTTTTAAATGTTCCAGTTAAAGAAGTGGAAGTGCCTGTTCCTTCTGAGATCCATCAGCTGGATGACAGTCAGTGTTTGAAGAATTTGGACCATGTTTCTCATGAAGCTTCTGATGAAGAACTAAATTTAAAAGCATTTTCTGAAGGATTTGCTTCCACTGAATCATCATCCAAGCCAAACAACTTCTTTTTGAAACGTGAAAGTGCCAAATCAGCCTCTTCACCCCCAGAATTTCAGAGGGTGCCTGCAGTTTGGGTTGACATCTTGGAAAGCTCCATTTCAGATTCAGAATTAGAGCTGAGACATGGAGAGGGCACAGGTGTCAGTGTCCCAGAAGAGTTTGTCCATGACAGTGGTGATGTGTTTCCTGACCTCTCAAAAGAGGTGCCAGTAGCAATAAGTAATGGAAAGGAAACATCACCTACTGATGAACATGAACTGCCTGAAGATGAGAGCGCTGAGATTTCATCACACTCCCAGAAATACCCTGGAGATGTGTTGGATCATGGCTGCACTGATCATCTGCTTTCTTTCATTCCAGCAGACAAAGCAAATGCCTCCAAAACCCAGCCAGAACGTTCCTCCCAGTCTGATAACCCTGAGGAGGGAGTGGATGAGCCACATCTGGGTGCCTCTGGAAGCTCCAGTAGAAACAAATCCTGTCCTCAGGAGGTCACAAAACAGGGTAATGATACATCTGCCAGCTCTTTGTGCAGTGATGATATTTATTCACCTAAGATCTATGAACAGCAGAAACCTAATTCTACAACTAACAGAGTGTTAGGGGAAATTAACTGTTCATCTGTGGATCAGAATAGAGACCTAATGGGTTTTCCAGAAACAGTTTCTTTGAAACATCCAGATTTAGTTACTGACCAGCTCGGGAACACTGTTTCTTCTCTGCCTGACAGAGATGTTGCAAATAACAAATTGTTAGCATGTCTGTCTCCCCAGAGGGGACTCTTTTCTTCTGCCTCCTCAAAAAAGCAATTGTTTCAGGCTGAGAACTGCTCTTCCAAAGGAGAAGATGATGTAACCTCTATTAGGGATAATGGTCCCCCTCCAGCTGCTGAGGATGCCTTGTCGGAAATCCTGTCTCCCGTGGATGAAGTATTGTCCTGTGGAAGTGCTGACTTGCCATCCTCTAACAAAAAGGATTTGTCATTTCCAAGTGAAGATCTTCCTTCTCCCTCTTTAGGTGCAGGTGCAACGAAAAATGATGATCCTACCTCCAGCACAGATGATTTCCCATCCCCACCAGAACAAATGACAGGCTCAGAGAGCAGTCAGGGTATGGATGAAGATATATCACTGAAAATGGATGCATTACCCCCATTACCTGATAACATCATGCCTCAAGAATTTCCCCTGCTCAGTCAAGAGACAATTGATGCTTTTTCAACTCAGGCTGGTTGTCTCTCAGAACAATCTTCACTTCAAGCCATTTCCAGCTCAAAGGAGGACTTATCAGAACACCAGCAAGGAGAACACGAGGCACCTTTGCAGCATTTGGAGCTCCAGCCTGTGTTAAACTCTGTTTCTTCTGGCCAGGCCAGTAAAAGTCCTGACTTATTAATGAAACAATGTCCAACACACTTAATGCTGCCCAGCACTGAGGGGGACAGGGATGACCCATTGAGATCATTTGAAATTGGGGACAGAGTGCTGGTAAAGCAGAGCCAGCCTGGAACTCTGATGTTCAAAGGACGGACTCATTTTGCCAGTGGCCACTGGGCTGGTGTTGCACTGGACAAAGCTGAAGGTGACAATGCTGGAACTTATCAAGGGGTGAAGTATTTTGAGTGTGCTCAGCACTGTGGTGTCTTTGTCAGGCCTGAGGAGATCTCACACCTCTTGGGGGATAACGAAAAGGGTTCCAGTTCCACTGGGGATGAAGACTCTGACTCCTATGACGATGAATTCTTCAAAGGGGACTGCAGATATTCTGGAGGTGATGAGCAGAGAGTGGGGTTTACAGAGGAGAAAGCAGAAAGCACAAAAAGTGCAGGAGGTTCAGAAGGAAAAGAAAGCCAATCCAGGTTACACTCTGCCTTGCTGTCTAAAAAAGATCAAAAATTTCCACATTGCAACCAGTATAAGTGCACTGAATTTCTCTGTCAAAAGAACTTAATGTGCTTGGGATCAGATAAGGAAAAAACAGAACTGGCACAAATAAGACAAAGTATAATTGCAGCTGTGCTTCCAAAGAAAAGCAAGACCAATAACACAGAGGAGGTAAACACAAGCAAAAATATTGGTTGCTTGGTAGAGGATCAGAAAAGAATTAAACTTGCTGATGATGTTGCAAGTGAACTCGGTAAAAAACTTCTGTTTGACATTTTAATTGCGTTTTCTGAAACAGCTCAACACAAATATAAAAGTGCCTTTGAAAAGGACATGATGAATTACAGCGAAGGCCTAAGGCAAGGAGACAATCAGAAACTGTTTCTCCTCAAAGAAAATTCAGCTGCTGTCTTATCTGAACCATCAGCAAAGGTTTCTGATGTTTTCCTGGGTGATTTTGATACGCTTTGTATTCATGGTTGTCACACAGTAGCAGAAAGAATTGTAACTAAATTTATAGATGATGCAGTTAAAGCATATAAGAAGATTAAAAGAAAACATGGATCAAAAGCAGACAAGATACTTCATTTATCTTCAGAGACTTCTCCAACCACTCTGCCAGTAAGTACAGAGGGAGAGTTTTTATTTAAAGTGTTGGACTCCAAGCTGGGTCTATCCAGGCAAGAATTTGTGTGGCCCAGTTTTTCATCATTCATAAAAATTACATCATGTCAACCTCAGGAGCCAGGTTTCTCCCTTAATCTGACCCATTCCTCATGTAAGGAATTATCCTACAGCCAGTGGATAGCATGTGTATGGGGGGAAAGGATGAGCTGAGCATGGGGATAAGAGCTACAGACAGTCCAAACAAAGCAAATGGGAACTTCCGTGCTGGAATTTGTCACTTGTCAAAACTGATAAATCTGCACAAACTTGAATTTTGATTCATATCAGGGCAAACCTGGACACTTGTCAGCTCTGCCTAAGTCCTTTGCAGCTCCTGGCTGTGAGAAAACTGCTCTTGAGGGGAGAGTAGTCCACCTTTAGAACAAAAATGTTTCAAAGTGTCAAATTTTCAATGAACTTCAGATTTGGAATTCTTCCTAATTCTGAATTTTGCCCAGTGCAGTTAAAATAGGTATTTTTTTTAATGATGTATCACTAAGGCTTTCTATGAGCCCATGAGTAAGAAGATGGTTTCAAAAGTAACCTTAGTTGCTAATAATCTCAATACCTCTAAAAATTGTGGAAAAACATGGAGTATGTCATCTGGTGGTTTTTTGTTGGTTTGTTGTTTTATTTTTCCCCTCTCTCCTGAAGCTCCTCAATAAAATCCTTGATGCTGCTGTTTTTGGAAGCTCTGAAGACTTTGTTCAGCCTTATTCTGACCAACATATGCTGGTGAGACAAAGACAAAAGCAGTGCTTGTACAAATTAGATCAGTGGCACTCAGCTCCTTGGAAGAAAACTGTGGAAGTTCCTCTTGTGATACCACATTACAGTTCTTATGTTAGAAACTTGTCTGCATGTGCTGTAGAAGAATTATGGACCCCAGAAAACATAAATTCAAATTTCAGGAGCATCAGTGTGCCAAAGTGCTCTGAATGTAATGATCTCCCAGGGAATGATTTGGAAGCAGAAAGCAAGAGGATGTATGATCAGGTATTTTTAAAGCACTAACTGTTAATTAACATTTCTAGTGTTTTGTAAACTGACTCAGATAATATTTAATATTAATCTGACTGCTAACACAAACTGTAGCTAAAGGAACACTGGAAGGTACTGCAAAGTAAAGCTGGTGATCTACTGCAAAATAATTCCAGTAGAATAGAGGGTCTTGCTGTGAATCAAGGCTTTTGCCAGAGTTCTCCAGCCAGGAGACCCTGGACACCTGACACCAGTTGTAGGAACATCAGTGATGCTGTCAGGAAATCCTGCCCTGAGATTCAAACCCCTCCTGTCACCCCCCCAAAATCCTTCAGAAGTGCTGAGAAAAGTGTTTGAAAGGGCATCAGTGAGAGGTTCAGTTGTGTCAGGGCTGTGGTTTTGTTGTTCCAGGTTATATTTGATTTGACCCGGGAGTTGTTACGTGCAGAATATCAAGTGACTGCAAATCCAAACCCTTTTCCATGGATGAAAATAAACGTGGGATCTCACTGTTCCAGGCATCTCTGCAGCAGAACAGATGTCAGTGATGTCAAGGTACGTTCTGGGAATGTAAAGTGCAGTGACAAGAGCTAGTGAAGAGAGCAGGTATTGCAATGGCAACGAGAAATGGGAAATTTGGGAGGGTTATGGCAGTGGAACCGACTGGGGAAGAAAAGAGCACTGCTCTGAAATGCCTGAATAAATACAGACTGAGCTGATTAGTCAAAAGATTCCAAATTATGGAGCTCTGTAGAGAAATGGGCCTTAGTCCTCCTAATTATGACTACTTTAGGTTTAACTTCTAAAGTAACATTATGACTGAAATGTGTTGGTTGGCCAATATTGAGGCCAATTCTGGCCTCAAAGCTGAATCTTCAGTGCCTGTCACTGACCTACAACATTCCCAGTGCCACAGTTCCTATGAGGCAAATCCTTTTCAGCCTTTTTTTTCTTTTGCAGACATTTGTTCAGGGTGAAATTATTAAAATAATGAACCTGGAAAAGAATGACTTAGAAATGAAAAGAAAATTCCTAAACATGACCAAGTATGGAAACTGTAAGAGAGACAGACTGGACCTTATTCTGGTAAGCAGACTTCCAAACTAGAAGTTCTTGTGCTTTTGTGAGAATCATATTTTCTTAATTACTTCAGAACTTCAAGTTATTGCTTTTCTTTTCAGTACACTTGCAATAATAATCCAGTATTCCCAGTTCTAGTGAGTGGTTTAATATATCAATATATAAAATATTGATATTTTATTATATATCTTATATACATAAAGCAGTTGGATTAGGTACAGTGTTTCAGTACCTTTCAGAACCAACCATATTCCTCCTCTTGATCTTATTCTTGTTATATTTTAGATTCAGGAGCTCCGTAAAGAAGAGTCTCAGTGGACTTATTATGGTGATGATGAATTAACAGTGAAGATGAGGATGACTGAAGGCATATTTAACAGCTTGATCCTTGATACAATCAGAGTTCTTAATAAGATTTATCTGAGAAAAGCCTGTGATTAGAAGTTTTTCCCTCGTGGGCCCTGATGGAGGAATTTTAATCTCTGATTTTTTTTCTTTATTTTTCAGTCAAGAAATAAGTGATTTAAGAACTTTAACTCTGAACTTGTACCCGATACCAGGGTGGCCTTGGCCTAATTTGTACATTCATATTTATGAAAGGATCAAGGAGAGACTCATGCAGATAGAAAAATATTACACAAAATATTCTCCTTGTGTTCTGTGCTTTGGGAAGGCTCACTAAGATCAATGGTCTTCTTAGATGTCACACAGAATCCAAAGGGGGGAAATTTTATTCTTTTTTTTTAATTCAAGACTGCACTTTATCTGCTTTGAAGAGCACAGTGTGTTTTAAAATTGTATACAAATCTCTACAAACAGGTTTCAGAACCAATTTGTGTGCAAATGATCTTACTTCTGTTATCATGCTCAGGCTGTGAACGATGACAGGTGAATCATACTTTGAAAATTATGTTCAGAAAATCATTGGTGACTGTCTGAAGAATGTAAATGTGCAGATGGAGTTAAATGTCCCACATCCTGAATTGCTGTGGGCCTCTGTAGTTTGGAATAAACTCCTCTAACTGGAACAAGTCTAAAACTTTTCCTGATGGGTACAGCAGATTTAAAAGTGACTGTGCATCATTATTTTATTGTTTTTAATACACTATGGAACTAGTTAAAAATAACCTGGAGAAGGCTTTAGAGATGTGGCACAAGGAAGGGCAGGACCCAGAGCCAGATACTCAGTTTAAATGTCTATAGTTTTATGTAAATGAGACAAATACTGATGTAATGCACTTTACATGGGAGACTTTTTTATCAGTAATTTCAATGTCTGTCAATTAAATATGTGCATGTGATTTGGGTTATTTATCACATGAGCCTGTTGCATTCTTACAACATCTCAGTGTAGGGTGCTGAGGATGTACTTTAATTGGCAAAACAGAGGAAATCAATAATCCTTTTGTAATGGCAAAATTGGAAAAACCAAGATTTTAACAAGGAACTATAAGCATTCCCTGAGCATGGTAATTGGTTCACTATGTAAGTTGCTGTCCCACCTATTTTGCCTTAGTTGTTTTCATGCTGAGTTGTTTCATATTGTATTCTTTCCTGAATAAACAAAATAAACCATATGTAAAACATCATTTGTTCTGAAATCCATTGGAATTGCAGATTATATCACAGGCTGCTATTCTCAGCAGTGACTGGGAGTACTTTTGTTTTGCAGACAGTTCCTGAGGACATTAAACCCTCCCCTGCTTGTTGCCATATGAACAGAAATAAAAAGGCAACTTCTGCCCTGAGCATATTAACTGTTGATCTTATCCTAGAAACTATTTTCATGTCCCTTGTGGTACATTTTCTTAAGTCTCTGGCTTTTATCCTCATTGATTAGTTAATCCAGATAAGTTATTTGTTTTTGTATTGTCAGTTTATAGTGGAATTTAACTCAGTTTTTTTCTCCTGGACTTGCAGATTGTTGGATACAATGACAAATCTATATATTGAAGTCCTCTGGTTTTGCAGCAGCAGCAGCAGCAGGATCCTTGTGTTTGGTATGAAAGCTATTAAAAATATCACTTATATATGAAATAATAGTTGAAGGACTTGTTTGATTTCAGACTGCTGCCTTATGTTCCACCTGAGGGTGATAACCATCATATTTGCAATTAGGTTTGTGAGTGAAGCCTGAACCCTCACAAGCTGCTCTGCAGGGAAGGACACAGCTATAAAGTAACTCCTCCTGATGAGAATAAAAAGTGTATACACAGAACATGTCAGACATGTTTAATATCCCCCACCATTCTGTGCTCAAAACCTGAGATTCTGGCACCCAGATATATTGACCTGTTCACTCAGTGGCAAGACTTCAATATCAAGATTACTCTCCTTCAAGGTCTAATATTTTGTTTGCCTTGGGTTTGATCAATATTAACCTCCTGGGTCAATAAATCTTGATAGTAGCCTCAAGAGGAGTCATTATCTTTCATAGAAAATGATTATTTCTCAGTTAAACCCTACATTTAATTTTCCTGTAATCCATCTCTTTCATCTTTATACATTTAACAATTCTTCTGAATAAAATGTGCTCTAAAATATCTTTGGCACTGCAGATTTTTAAAATCCTAATTAGCAGCTGCCACAAGATTTTTCAGTTCTTTGGAGCTGTTGGACTCTGCTCTTGTAACCATCTATTTTGTTGCTTGTTGTACCCAGGAAAAAGAGAGCTGGGATGTGATGTGAGAAATCATTTAGCCTGTAGCTGGGGGTATGGATCAAAAGATATGTGACTGAACCACTTCAGATATTAATGGTCAAAAAAAGAGAGGATCAGGAAAAGAAAAGGCAGAAGGGGGAGGATCTGTTACTCAAGTCTCAGAGAAGATTTTACTGTAATTAAATTTCTACCCTTGTATTGTCTGTGGGTTACTGACCAGAAACAATAATAAACTAAATTATAACCTCTGGATTTACACTGGTGGGCCTGAAGTAAGAATTTAGGCCCATTTGTTTCCTACTTGTTCTTCAAGGATTAAAAGAAGTGCTTGTGAGTAACAGAAGCAAGAATTATATTTTCAGAGACCTCATTTTTTAATTATCTAAGTTTTAAACTCCTCTGAAATTGTCCTCTGGGGGTCTTGTTGGTTTTCTCCCTCCCATTAATGTAATGAAAGTTCTTAAGCCTGTATTTAGAAATGAAAGGAGATGTCCGTACTGTGGCCAGAGCTGTAAAAGGTGCTAAAATCCATTACTAGTGCAAATCCAACCTGAATTTACGGAAAGTAGAGAGTTTTTATCAACCTGCCCAAGTGCAGCCTTTTATCAGAGATTCAGTCTGAGGAGAAACGGCTCTTCCCTGCTGAGAGAGGTACTTTGGGATGAAACAGCTCTCGACCCAGAGGCCACGAGGTGTTCAGCTCTTCTCAGTGAGAAGCTCTGTGAAGTTGAAACTTCTGTTTCCATATCAATTGTCACATAAATTTGGCCACCAAGGGATGGGTCAGGTAGGAAGGGACCACGGTGGGTCGTGGAGTTCTGTGGAATGTCCTCATGGCCCATAAATTGTGCGTTCTTTGTACCCCTATCAGTGGTACAACTTTCTTCCCAAGCTTTAACTTCCCTCTAGCCTGAGACCATTGAAGTGTGTCCAGCCCTAGACCTTAGTAACTCTACCAACAAGTAATTTGTTTTTTCTGGCACTCGGACATCACTCAGAGCTTGCTTATCAGCTGCTGTTTCACAGAGTAAACCTCCCTTCTTGTTGATTAGGCTTGAAAGGTCAAACATCAAAGAACATCATGGCTTATGAAAATTTTTACGTATTCCACATTTTGAAAGGCTCTGGGGGACACCGGGCAGTCTCTGCTTCCCTCAGGGGATGCAGGACAGTAGTAACTCCCCTCTCAGGGACACAGGATAGTCCTCGCTGCCCTCAGGGGACACGAGTCTCTCAGGTGACAGGTGACACTTCTCGCTTCCCTCAAGGACATAGGAGAGTCCTCGTTCCCCTCAGGACACGGGACACTCTTCGCTCCCCTCACAGGGAATCAAGACAGTGCTCGTTTTCCTCACAGGAACACAGGACACCCTGCTCTCCCCTCAGCGCACACAGCACAGCCCCTCAGGGACACGGGACGCTTCTCGCTCCCCTCAGGACACGGGACGGGCCCCTCTCCCCTCAGAGCACCCCGCACCCCCCAGGCCGGGCCGCCGTGGCCGGCGCGTTGCTTATGGCGGCCCCGCCCCGCCCCTCTCCGCCGCGTCCCAACATGGCGGCGGCGGGCGGGGGGCGCCGGGCGGCTTCTCCAGCTCCCGGGTGCCGCTCCCGCTACGCTCCCGCTGCTGCTCCCGGTGCTCCTGGCGGCGGCCGCGGCCGCGCGGCTCTACCGGCCTGGCCACGACCCGCTGACCGTGCTGACGGCCGGCTCGGTGCGGCCGGCGTGCTGCTCAACTCCTCGACCGCCTGGGGTGGTGCAGTTCTACAGCTCGTCCTGCGGCCACTGCAATCGCCTTCGCTCCCACCTGGCGGCGCTGGCGGGGACGTCAAAGGTTGAGGCTGTGGACGGGGCGCGGCCGCCCGGCTGCCCTGACCGCGGGCCTCCCGGTGCCCGGTGCCGGTGCAGGGCCGGCGGTGCCCGGGGCGCTGGGCTGGGGGCCGCGGGGCCTCGGGCGCTGTGTCACCCCTGGGCTGTGCGGGCCGGGCCGGGTGGTGTGTGAGCCGTGGTGCCTCGGTGTGTGAGAATCACCCCTCCTGCCAGTGCCATGGTGGTGTTCTGAGAGTGAGCATCACCCCTCATCCTCTCCTCTGGTGGTACCTCGGTGTGAGAGCATCACCCCTCATCCTGCTTCCCTGGTGGTATCTTGTTGTGTGAGCATCACCCCTCATCCCACTTTCCTGGTGGTACCTTGTTGTGTGAGCATCACCCCTCGTCCCACTTTCCTGGTGGTACCTTGGTGTGTGAGCATCACCCCTCATCCCACTTTCCTGGTGGTCCCACGCTGCCAGAATGGCACATGGCACAGAGGAAGGCATAGGTGGTGGTAGCACATCCCCAAATTAAAGGTTTCATAGTAATCCAGGGATAAAACATCACCTCACACAGAGTGATCCAGCTGCGGGGTTTATATGCGAGCGTCCATGTGTGCCCATGGGAGGTTTGTTTAGACTGAACTCTTGGAGGCAAAATGTTTATCTTCTGAATGTTTCGTAAAGAGAACAGCCTATTTTGGAAGCTAAATAAAAAATATTGTGGTACTGGAAAGACCATGAATGTATTTGATCTATGTCTTGCAAATTCAACATAGTGCGGATGGCCTAGAAGGGAAAAAAGGACCACCAGGAAATGAGAAAAAAATCAAGCAAAGTGAGAACCAGGTTTTCAGATTTATCACGTAGTGAATTAAAAAGAAGTGGTGGCCTCCACAGCTTATACTGAGAGACCTGCCTTGCTGTGTCAGCCTGCTCAGGTTTTTTGGCAGGTGCTGAAGTGTTTTACTCTGGTTTTACATGTAAGGAAACAAACAGGCCCCTCAGGTGTTGGTTACATTCGATACCTTTGTTGTGGAGGAAACTAGAGATCAGATTTGTATGAAATGTTATTCTTAACATAGTGGTATAAAAGGCTTTTAAACTGTTCTTAATTTAGCATTTCACCCAGGAGATCTTTCCAGGATGGAACAGCAGTTCTAATACACTCATGGTTTCAGTTTGAGAGGGAGTGAAGAGCTCTGGCTCTTCTCTGACACCCTGAAAAGTGTTAACAACTAACA